CCCATATCTCATTTATTCCTTTCCAGCTTTCCCTTTCCTTGAGTAGACAACCCATTGCTTTTCAACCCTATTTTTGGCATCTCTATCATTACCACCCGCCAGTGAAATAGCCTTTTCCACAAGGCTAGAATTAGGAAACTGCCCCTTGAAATCTGAGAGATCCAACCACGTGGCGTCATCAGTGGTGCGACCCTCCCATTGGACCAATACTTGTGGTGTGGTACCAGTAGCTGTGGGTAACTGACGAACCGCTAATATGTCATATGGTTGGTAGCCGGCCTCCTCCACTTGAAGCTCGTCAGGGATATCCTGGATAACAGGATGGTGACCTTTCACCGGCTTAAGTTGTGAAATATGAAAGACCGGATGAATCTTTGAGGTAGAGGGAAGCTGAAGCTTGTAAGCAACTGCACTCAACTTTTGCATAATCAAGAAAGGACCATAGTATCGAGGGGCTAATTTTTGGTTCAATCTGTTGAGAAGAGTGTTTTGCTTGTGAGGGCGAAGCTTGAGAAGGACACTATCACCCACATTAAACTCAACGTCACGCCTTGTACGGTTTGCAACTTTTGTCATGCGATGTTGAGCTTTCTCCAAATTGAAACGAAGCTGACTAAGTAATTCATTGCGATCAGAGTGAGCATCGGCCACTGCTGCCACCCGAAACTCACCAGGTAAATATTGTTGCAAGGTTGGAGGTGTCCTGCCATACACAATCTCAAAGGGAGTCCGTTGAGCCGCTCCTTGAAAGGAAGTATTGTACCAGTATTCTGCCCAGTGAAGACACTTGCCCCATTGTCGGGGTTGTTCGGAAGCAAAACAACGAAGGTATTGCTCAAGACAACGGTTGAGCACTTCGGTTTGTCCGTCGGTTTGGGGGTGATAAGCACTGCTCATTTTAAGACTTGTCCCCATCTTAGCAAAGTACTCAGTCCAAAAGTGGCTTAAAAATATTGGGTCTCTGTCACTTACAATCGAATTGGGCACGCCGTGAAGGCGGACGATTTCCTTTGCAAAATGATCAGCTAGAGATCTAGCGGTGAACGGATGTCGAAGTCCAAGAAAGTGGGCATATTTGGAAAACCTGTCAACCACCACCCAAATGCAATCGAGTCCACTAGATCGTGGCAAACCCGTAATGAAGTCCATTGAAATGTCTTCCCAAACCGCCGTCGGAATAGGGAGAGGTTGGAGCAGGCCAGCTGGGGACAAGGTTTCATATTTGTTCTTCTGGCAAACTAGACAGTCCGCCACAAATTTTTGGACATGGCGCATCATACCTTTCCAATAAACACTTGCAGCAAGTCGTCGATATGTACGGTATGCACCTGAATGCCCCCCTATTGGAGTGGAATGGAACTCCTCGAGGAGTCGAGAGGTCCACGTTGAATTAGAAGGAAGCACAATACGACCCTTATAGAATAGGCGACCATTAATCAATTTGTACGGTGGGCAGCCATCAGGATCTTGATGCAATCGGGCAATGAGTGGTTGAAGCGTGGGATCCGCCAAAATAGCAGACTCGAGAGCACCCCAATCCAACCACACCGGGATGGATATAGCCGAAAGTTGCAAGTCATCGTGACTACGTGACAAGGCGTCTGCTACGCAATTAGTGGAGCCTGGCTTATAGACTACTTCAAAATCATAACCAAGTAATTTAGCAACCCAATTCTGTTGTGACGGAGTGGAGATACGCTGTTGCAATAAATAACGTAGACTCCGGTGGTCGGTCCGAACTATGAAACGACGACCTATGAGATACGGCCTCCAGTGTTGAATGGCCATCACAAGAGCCATTAATTCCTTTTCGTAGGTAGATTTAGATAAAGTCTTCCCAGAGAGGCCCTTGCTAAAGAAGGCAATGGGGCGACGTTCCTGCAGCAGAACGGCTCCTACCCCAGTTCCGGATGCATCGCATTCAATAATAAATGGTCTTGAGAAGTCTGGCATGGCCAAGACTGGTGAAGTGGTGACGGCATTCTTCAGAGCATCGAAAGCAGATTGTGCGGCCTCGGGCCATTGGAACGTAGTCACACAGTCCTTCTTTAAGAGTGTGGTGAGAGGATTGGCAATTGAGCCATAGTGCCGAATAAATCGACGGTAATAGCCCGTTAATCCCAAAAATCCACGAACTGCTTTTAAGGATCGAGGTACCGGCCACCGAAGGACGCTGGAGACTTTGGCGGGGTCCATAGCCACCCCGGCATGAGAAACGATGTGGCCTAAATACTCCACTGAAGACTGACCAAATTGACATTTCTTCGGATTAGCTTTGAACTGATGAAATTGTAAGATATTCAAAACCACTGATAAATGTTTAAGGTGTTCCTCCCAGCTCGGGCTGTAGACTAAAATATCGTCAAAGAAAACCAACACAAAATGACGCAAATGAGGGCGAAATATGTCATTCATAGTGGCTTGAAAAGTAGCAGGAGCATTGGTGAGACCAAAAGGCATGACGAGGAATTCATAGTGGCCGGAATGTGTACGGAAGGCAGTCTTTGAAATGTCTTCTGGCACTACTCGAATTTGATGGTATCCGGACCGAAGATCGATCTTGGAGAAATATATGGAGCCATGTAGTTCGTCGAGCATCTCTTGGATAACTGGAATGGGGTATTTATCCGCAATTGTAACTTTGTTTAACTCACGGTAATCGACGCAAAAACGCCAGCTACCATCTTTTTTCTTCACGAGTAAAATCGGGCTGGAGAAAGGGCTGACACTAGGTTGAATGACACCCGCTGCAAGCATTTCACCTACCAATCTTTCAATTTCGTCCTTTTGGGTGTGGCCATATCGATACGGCTTAACGCTAACAGGTGTTGTGCCCGGTTGTAGAATAATCTTGTGGTCATTATGTCGAACCGGGGGCAGTCCCTCGGGTTCACCAAAGACTTGCGAGTAATCATTGAGTAGCTCTTCCAATTGAGCTGATTGGGGCCCAGGAAGCGCAATGATGGCAGAGGTGTTGAGCTGAAATGAAGATACATCCATAAGGATGACAGAATACTCAACATCTTCCAAATATTCAACAGAGTTAAAGGAGATTGGGAGGCGAGAAAGAGTCGGGTCTCCAGTCAAAGTGATGCACTGGCCATGATCTTCAAATTCCATTGTCATTGTAGCCCAATTAGCGCGGATAGTGCCCAGAGAGGCGAGCCAAGTAACCCCAAGAATTAAATCGACAGCACCCAAGGGAAAAGCAAAGCAATCAACGGTCATTGTAAGAGGCCCCAAGTGAACTGGAAGTTTGGAAAATTTGCCAGAGGATTCAGACTGGCGTCCATCGCCCAAGCGAACACCAAAACGGGTTGTGGCCTCCAACGGTTGTTTGAGTTTGGCTGCCAAGTCAGATGAGATAAAATTATGGCTTGCCCCGCTGTCAATCATAATCACCACATCATTGTGCTCCACCCGGCCGCGAGATTTCATTGTTTGGGGACGGTCGATACCACCAATGGAAGAGAGGGGCAGGTCCAAAACGTGTAATGGGGCATCATCCATGGTATATACCCCAGGTGGGTCGTCGGTGTTAGTGTCCTCATCTTCTGCTGCGATTAAAGCTCGCAATGATTTATTTGGACAAACATGCATCGGGCTGTAGGGTTGTTTGCATCGGAAACAAAGTCCTTTCGCACGCAGGTCCTGGTATTCCTGATGAGAATAACGTCGAATACCCTTTTGATCAATTGAAGGAGCCTGGAAAGATATACCCGCACCTGGAGTTTGAGAAGGTGGCATAAGAATATTTCCCTTTGTGGTTTTATGGAAATTGCTGGGCGTAGGAGTGGCGTGGTTGGTCTGATGATGTGTGCTTGGACTAGACAAGTTTGCATTGGCGGACGTTGGGCTTGGAGTCCAACCCAAACCGAAACCCGTACTCCACCTCTTCACTCCTGTAGATTTAATAACATGTTTGTCATGGTGCAAGAAATCGAGCTCGCGAGCAATGGAGCGTGCAACTCGCATTGCTGTCCGTAAATCAGTAGCATCGTTTGGGCGAAAACGAACTCGGATCTCTTCCTTTAGCCCATTCAGAAACAACCCTAACTGGATATGAGAGGGTATCCCAGAGATATGGGCAGCCCGGACATGAAACTCATTGCAATATTCATCCATCGTACCAACCTGACGGAGAGCAGCTAACAACTCAATTGGTGGGGCAGACAAATCGCCACCAAATTGCTCCATTAGTTCAGATTTGAGTTGCGACCATGTCAGCATGGGATGTTGTTGTTGTAGCCATCTCATCCAATGAAGGGCAGGCCCTTCCATGCTAACAAAAGCAGTGGGAACTCGTAACTCGTCTCGCGTGCTGTGGATGGTAAAATATTGTTCAGCCCTAGACAACCAGCCAAGCGGATCGGTTCCATCAAAATATGGAATCTCAGTTCGTTTAGTAGGCAGGTGGACATCCTGTGGTTTAGTAATGTTGATGTGATCGACTTGGGAGGTGTCGCTCCCTTCACTGTTATGCTTGGCTGACAAAAATTGGGTGACCAAGTCGGTAAGTTTGGAGATGGCCTCCTCGACATTAATGAGACGTTGCTCGTGCACTTCCTGACCCTTCTCCGTGGCTT